GTGCCTTGGCATCACAGCTCACAGCAACCTCAAACTCTTGGGCTTAAGCAATTCTCTTGCCTCAGCCTCCCAAGTAACTGGGACTCCAGGTGCCTGCCACAACACCTGGCTATTTTTTATTGTAGTTGTAATTGTTTTTAGCAGGCCTAACCACTAATCTATGGGTGCCAAGCCCCACATGTTAAAATCTTGAGGATTGGCCTTTCTGTTACAACAAGAGGCCCATTTGTGTCTGTGGTGAGCATATCTTGCTCTATAAACTTATCTTTCTCTTCCCCAGTAAACTTTGCTTCATGCTTGCCCTGCTTTTGGTGTGTCTGGTTATTCTTTGGCCAAAAGCACATTAAGAACTAAAAACACAGACAACTGCCAACCCAATTCAGATTACTCTGTCCAGATCCCAAGGATACCTACTTGGATCTACCATTCCTAGGTGAAGCTGTGTAAAGACCAAAATCCAGCCCCTAGAGACAAGGACTCCAACACTGGAGGTAAATACTGTGTACTCCCTTGGATGATCTCCACTACCCGTTCAAGAGGACTTCTCTAACTGTGGCTCCTTCAGGTAAGTAGTACAAACTGTTTACTAATGGGCAAGACATCTTTTGCCCAGGTAAACCAAATTGTACATACCCTAAGGCTCAGCCAGACCTGCTGGATATACCTGTCCACTAATAAGTGTAGACAGGTTCAGGACAACATCAATGCCATCTTAGAGTCTATGTCCAGTCTCCAGAGGCAAGGCAAGACCTCTAAACATGGTGGATTCTTGATAATTGCCCTGGCCACTTTGTTACTTTCCGTCCTGGGAATGTAACAAATTGGGACAAATCCTCATAAATCTTCCAACTAAATTTATTTCATCCCTGCCATCAAGCTACAAATGGTCCTATGTTCTCTACCAGTCCCAGCATCTTCCTTGTCCTCACACCTATAACTACAACCATCTACCAAAAAGAACCCACAAGAGGCCACCCTAATGGAAATCATTACCCCCACTCAGCAGGAGGCAGCCAGATAAGTTAACACCCCTGCCCATGGTTTGGACCTCTAGAATAGAGAGGAGGGAAATGTTCAGCAGATAGTTAGGACCGTTGGCTCTTCTAGGAAAAAGGGCACCCTGCAGTGGTGCAGCCTCAACTAACTGCCCTACCTGAGAAGGACAAGGGCGGGCACTCTGTCTTGGGGCTACCCCACCCTTGATCCTACCCCAAGCAAATGCCAGGCAAACTGAGGCAAGGAGAAATGCCCATCTCAGCCTCCCAGAGTGCTAGGATTATAGGTGTGAGCCACCACACACCTGGCTGCAAAGGATAGTTTTGTTTTGTTTTTTTTTGGTGAAGACCAATAAAATGGTCAAATGTTTGACAAGTTTTTGTAAGAAAAAGGGAGAGAAGGCGGGCACAGTGGCTCACCCCTATAATCCTAGCACTCTGGGAAGCCGAGGCAGGTGGATTGCTTCAGCTCAGGAGTTGGAGACCAGCCTGTGCAAAAGCAAAACCCCTTTTCTACTAAAAGCCAAAAAACTGAGGCAAGAGGATCATTTGAGCCTGAGTTAGAGGTTGCTGTGAGCTATGACACCATGGCGTTCTTGAGATTCTATCTCAAAAAAAAAAAAAAAAAAGAAAAGAAAAGAGAGAGAAGACAATTTTTGTAAAAAAGTAAAAAGATGGTAAAATTACAGAAATGAAAGAAATTTAAAAATTGTTAAGAGACTATAGAGCACAGCTTTATGCTAATAAGTTTGAAATTAGCATTTAGGTGGAATGGATTATTATCTAGGAAGACATACCATCTTTTGCGATTTATATAATGCATACTTCTTTGCCAAAACTTCTGAAGGAAAAATAAGGATGCACATTATGGGGAGCTCAGCAGGCCTCCCGGGGCCACCATGCTTTCCCACCTGGTTTTGCCAGGTACATGGGGCTCCAGTTCAGGAGAGTCCAGGATCTGCTGGGAGTGGGCCAGAGAGGTCTCCTCTGAGCATAGCAATCAGGGGAGGGGACAGTGGCATGGCTATCCAGGTAGGCCACAGCATGTAGGGTGAGGGCCAAGGCCGGAGGCACAGCTCCACAGAGGGCACCAGGAGCCCCATGCAGTCCCGAGACCTGCCTGGCTCCCTGCAGGCCAAGTAGCCTCAGAAGCTCCCTACCTCCTGGCCACATGCATGGCCATCTCTGCCACAGTCCTCAGTATAGCGAGAGGGAAGGAGTAGCCTTCACAGAGAAGGTGACTGCAGGAGGGCGGTGTGGTTAGCACATTTACCAGGAAGTGTTAGCCCTCCCCAGATGTGTCTCTTGCAACTGAGAGAGCTAGCCACTTTCTTGAGGAACATTTCCCTGCAAGTTCAGGCAAAAAAGGCGAGTGCACATTCTACACAGGAGTGCAATTTACACAGCATAATATGGTAGTTACCAAAAATTTACTCAAAAAGAGATAAGTGATCAATAACCATTTTAAGAAGTTGAAATGGTAGCCACATATCTCCCCTTAAAAAAAAAAAAGATACCCAGGTAAATAATGTTTTGTTCTATTTATATTTTTAGGTTTCAGACCATAAAAAAATGTAAAGCTTCCAATGTATGCTGCCAAGGTAGCCTAACTTTAATAGCAATAAAATGAAACAGCACCAAAAAAGAAATTTAAAGGTTAACTTCATTTATGGAATAACAAATACAAAGTAAGCCTATAAATCAATTCTAGCAGTCTATTAAAAGTACATTATAAATAACCAGGTAAGATATGTCCCAAGAATTTAAAGAGGACTCAAATTAGCATATTTATTAATGTATTACTTAATTTACATATTAAAGGAGAACAATATCATCACAATGGATGAATAAAATCTGTCTCATAAAATTGAGTACTCATCCTGATTAGGAAAAAAAACTTTAAGCAAGGAAAAACCAAAAGGAAACTTCCTTAACTTGATAAAGTTTCTGTACCAACACCTAGAATAAACCTCATAACTGATGATGAATAAAAAAAAAATCTCCACTTGTTGCCAGTTATCAGTTTATTGCCTCTCAGCTCCAAATTCTTCCTTCACTGACTTGCTCTGTGAAACTAGGCTATGAACATTTCCTTTGCTAGAGAGCAAAATGGTAAGCTTCGTCAGTAGAGGGCACAAGGGGAACGTGACAAGAGGACTTCTCTCATGGTTCCAGTGTGCTGCTTCTGTTTCTTATTCCTGGAGTTGGGCTGCCAGGCATACGTGTGGGACACCCAGTGGCAGGCATATTCACCAACAAGTTTTACTTATACTACAGCAGGGTATTCTTGCTTGCCAAACATAAGATTTATCCCAAGAATTTAAAGATTACTCAGCATCAGCAAATCTGTATTTTATGTTTCATTCGTAAAAAAGGAAATCTATCTTATAAAATGGAATACTCATCCTGATTTAGGGAGGAAAAAAGCTTTTAGTAAAGTCCACAGTTTCCTGCTTGCCAGCCTTATCCTTCTAGCTGTGAACCAGCTCTGGCCTCGGTCAACCCAGAAACATCTCTGCCATGTAGAGGGCCACAGCCACACCCTCTCCAATGAATTCTGAATCTTAGCCTTGAGAAAGATCTTCCCTTCCCCCCCACCATCCTCCAAGTTTATTCCTTCTTTGGATCTTGTCCTTCAGTTCAGCCCTAGATGCTCTTTAGAGTTCTCTTTTATCCCTTCTGAATAACCAATCCCTCAATAGCTCATGACTCTTTTATTAAATTTTCTGTTCAAATTATTGGTG